CCTGTAGTGCCAGCTACACAGAGGGCTGGGGAGGGAGGATGGCTTGAGCCCAGGAGGCAGAGGTTGCAGTGAGCCCAGATGGCACCATTGCATTCCAGCCCAGGTGACAGAGCCAGACCTTGTCTCAAAACGACCACCACCACCGGGTCCCTCAGAACCATTTTCCCCACCATTTGGAGATGGACTTATCTTGGGATTAGTAAACTCGAGTGCCTCTTGGGCAAGTCACTTCACCTCTCTGAGCTTCCACTTCCTCATCTGTAAAAATAAGGACAACAATACTCGCCACGTGGGTTGTGGTGAGAAATAAATGAGATAATGAAGGTGGAGGCATCCACACCATCAGGCAAATAGGATGAGTGTGCTTAACAAATAGAATCTGTTAGTGCCATTTTTATAGCATTTGCATCAACAGGCTGACATCATTTCTCCGTGTGACCGTGGAAAAGCAGTTAATATTTCTGGACCTCCATCTCCATCCCCACAGAGACTCTTTGGAGCTTCAATACTTCTTTCCTTTCCCCCTTCTTTCTTTCCTCCCTCTTTCTTGCTTGCTTTTTCTTTCCTTTCTTTCTCTCTCCCTCTCTCCTTTCTTTCCCTTCTTTCTCTCTCTCTCCCTCCTCCCCCTCCCTCTCTCCCTCTCTCTCTTTCTTTCCTTTCCTCTCTTTTTTTCACTTTTTAAAAGTGGACAATTCAGTGAGTTTTAGTATATTTACAGAGTTATATATTTACAACTATTACCACCATCTAATTCCAAAAGAAACCTCATACTCATTAGTAGTCACTCCCCAAACTCCTTTCTTTCCAACTTCTGGCAACCACTAATCTACTGTGTGTCTCTTTGGATTTGCCTGTTCTGGACATTTATGTAAAAGGCACCATCCAGAATGGGGTTGTCGCCATGTGGATTCTTTCACTTGGCGCGGTTTTGAAGGTTGTCTATGTGGACGCGTGCATCAGTACTTCACTCCTTTCCTAAGGCTGTGTAATATTCCACTGTACAGATAGACTATGTTTTTCATTCATCAGTTGATGAACATTTGGGTGACTATTAGGAATAACGCTGCTGCGGACATTTGTACACAGGGTTTCATGTGGACATGTGTTTTTAATTCTCTAGGAGTGGGATTGCTGGATCCTGTGGTAACTCTGTGTTAAACAGGCTGTTTTCCACAGTGGCTGTACCACTTTACATTCCCACTAACAGGGTATAAGGGCTCCAATGTCCCCACGTCCCCACCAATACTTATTATTGCCCATCTTTTTGGTTATAGCCATCTTACTGGGTATGGAGTGGTATCTCATTGTGGTTTTGATTTGCATTTCCCTAATGTCTAGTGATGTTAAACATCTTTTCATGAGTTTATTGGACATTTCCATATCTTCTTTGGAGACATGCCTGTTTAAATCCTTAGCCCACTGTTTTATCCTTTTGATTTTAGCCGACATGTACTGAGCACCTCCTGTGTGCCAACATACACGGGGACAGGAAAGGGCACACAAAACCAGGGGCTCTGCCTGGGGCACGAAGGCCTACCCTACCCTGCTGTGCTTCCCAGGGCTGCCACATGGGAGCACGTGTGTAAAGGAAGGAACACTGGTTCTAAAGGAAAGAAGGTACGGCCTGGACAAAGGCCTCGGGTTTCGGAGTCTCTGTGCAATCCACCCTCCCAGAGGCCTGCCCTGCCATACCCAACACCAGTGTCATTGATATCTGACAGCTAGAAGCTACCCACACATGGCAGCCACCAAGGCCACCAACAGAGAAGGCACCCCCTGGATATGCACCCTTGGGAGTCCCAGTTTAAACCCACCACCCAGCCAAGGCCAGCCTTTTAGTCCCCGGTCATCTGCAGGCAACTCTGCAGGATGAGTGCTAGAGACAGTACAGGAAGACAGAAGGACCCTGTTCTGCCCCACTGCTGTGTGCCTTATATGTGTCCCTTGACCTCTCTGAGCCTGTTTTCTTATTCATGAAATGAATAGCACAATCTCTTGAGGCAGTTATGAGGCTGCAATGACTCTTGCATGCAGAGAGCATTGCACAGGTTGGGGCAGAGGAAATGTTCACTGAAGAGAATGCATTATTTCTTTTGTCACGTAAAAACTGAGAGGGACAAGATGATCTATAAAGGCTCTACTCCTTCATAAAAAAGAGCAACATTAAGGAGCCAGGCGCACCCTCAGGTCAGATGGAAGAAGGAAAGAGGGAGGTCAGACTCCCTGAGACACAGCCACGTTTATGGGGAGCAGCTGCCCTGAACTCCAGGGTTACCCAAAAAGGATTTCAGATGCAGTGGCCCTGGCTCAGGCTACCAGACCATCTTGGGAAGCCCTGCCACCTCTGTGGCTTTCTGGCCTCCATCCTGGCTTGGCCTCAGCCCTCCCAGCCCACACCACAGCAGCCAGGAGTCTTCTCACTGATCCGCCGAGCTCATGACTGAGAGGAAATATGTTTCCAGATAAGATGAAAATAGATCCTTCTCCAAATATGCTCATCATAGCTAAGAAAAATAAATAGAACCAAGAGGGAAAAGAGAACAGGGAGCAACCATCAGAGGAGGCCTGGCCTGGGGAGCTGGGAGGGGTGATCTGCCCAAGGATCGGGGTGGAGCTTGTGCTGCAGAATAGGGTACGTAAGTGTGTGTGTGTGCGTGTGTGTGACCAATTGAGTTTGCATGACTACGTGAGCGTGCAGGTGGGACAGTAAATGTAAGTGTGTAGATGAGTGTGAGTGTGTGAGTGGGTATGTGTGCATTGTGTGAGGGTGTGTGCCTGTAGGAGGGTGTATATGCTGGTTGAGCATGTGAGCATGAGTGTGAGTGTGTTAATGCACATGTGAGTCAGCCGAATGTGTGTGAGCCTGTGCCAGCGCTAGTGATTGTGTAAGCATTGTGTGGGTGTGAGTGATGCAAGTTAGCGCATATATGGCAGTGTGCAAAGGAGTGTGTGAGTACAAATGTATGTGACTGTGTGCCTGTGTTCATAAGGGTGTGAGTGTGCACATGTGTAAGAACGTGTATGAGTGAGGATGTATAGGAGTACATGTGTGTGTGTTCACCTGTGTTGTGTGGTGTGCTTGTGTGACCATATATGGGCAACTATATGTGGAGGGTGTGCATGCAGGTATAACTCTGTGTGTGTGTATGTGTGTGTACGTGTGTGTAAGAGAGTATGTGAATGTGTGTGCATGGACTGAGCATGTGTGTGCATGTGTTCCTGTGAGTGCTGTGGTACTATGTGTATGTGTGCCCTGAGTCATGTGCTTGGGGAGGTGGCCCCATGGGAAGGGAGGAGGGAGAATTCTCTAGGCTTACTCACTCATGGCCCAGGCACAGCCAATCAGAAAATATTTCAAAATAGACCTGCTTGCATTTGTCGCAGCAACTTTCTGCTGCCCAGCAGCCGGAAGGCTTCCTAGAGTCGCAGCTTGGCAGGGACCTCTCAGAGGCACATAATGTTGGAACTCAAAGGGGTCTTGAAGCTCATCTCCCCAAAGACCTCATGCCACAGGTTGGGAGACTGAGGCCCAGGGTCACACAGCTGTTGAGGGCAGAGCTAGGCTTAGAACTCAGGCCTTCTGTCTAGTGTTCTTGTGCCTCCTGCCAACATACCCCTTCTGCCTTACTGGCTGTCATTCATTCATTCATTCATTCATTCATTCATTCATTCATTCAGCAAATGTTTACCAGTCTCTATTAAGTGCTGGGCTCCAAGGTACAGACCCTGCCTCAAGGAGCTTTGCTCCCAGTGTGGGAAGGTGGGCCGAGTATTCTAAATCCTGATAAGTACTCTGAAAGCAGGAAGACAAGGTGATGTGATCTCAAGGCCTGCTTCAGCTGGGGTCAGGGAGGGCCTCTGCAGAGTGACGCTGCACCTGAAGCCAGGTGGATGTAGCCAGCACCTCACAACCAGGCATCCAGACCCATGTCCTAATCAGCCCTGTAGGAGCTGATGGAGCAGTCAGAAGTGCCCCAGGTCAGGAGGCCTCCGTCACTCCCCTAATGCAATTCTGAGGAGAATTGATGGAGAAAAGTCTCTTCTTTGTGGGTGCTAAAGGAATCCTCCTCAGAGAAAGCCAAAGTTGGGAAGCAAGTGGGTCCCGAGGCTGCCGTGGCCCAGGAATCACCACTGGGGATGTGGGGAAAGTGTCACCTTCAACTCGTGCCCTGAAGCTCTGGTCCAACCCTCATGAAAATCATAGTCACCACTGATGTTAAATAATTGTAACTGCTAGGCCAAGCGTGGTGACTCATGCCTATAATCCCAGCACTTTGGGAGACCGAGGTGGGTGGACCATGAGATCAGGAGTTCGAGACCAGCCTGGGCAACATGGTAAAACCCCATTTCTACTAAAGATACAAAAAATTCGCTGGGCATGGTGGTGCATGCCTGCAATCCCAGCTGCTCAGGAGGCTGAGGCAGGAGAATCTCTTGAAACTAGGAGGCAGAGGTTGCAGTGAGCTGAGATCGTGCCATTGCACTCCAACCTGGGTGACAGGGTGAGACTCTGACTCAAAAAAAAAAAAACAAAAAAAACCTGTAACTGCTGACATTAGTGAAGCCTGTAGCCTGTGTCAGAAATGGGTTAGGGGCTTCAGAAGCATTATTATTATTATTATTATTTCGAGACAGAGTCTCACTCTGTCACCAGGATGGAGTGCAATGACATGATCTTGGCTCACTGCAACCTTCACCTTCTGGGTTCAAGCAATTCTCCTGCCTCAGCCTCTGGAGCAGCTGGGACTATAGGCACTCGCTACCATGCCCAGCTAATTTTTGTATTTTTAGTAGAGACAAAATAAAAATAATTTTTGCATTTTTGTACTTTAGTGGAGAAAAATTTTGTATTTTTCACCATGTTGGCCAGGATGGTCTTGATCTCTTGACCTTGTGATCCGCACACCCAAAGGCCAGAGCCTCTGAGTACATACCCAGCCCCACCTGCCTGTGTGACTTCATATCTCACTGATGTGGGTGCTCCTGGTTACCCTGGCCCTGGCAAATCACCCTGCCTGCGCTTGGAGCTCCTAATGACTCAGCCTCAGGACCTGCCACAAATTGTAAATTATGCCCCCCTTTGCAAGGCACGATCAACGACAGAGTCCTAAGAGCACCTACTGAGCCCCAGGAGCACTGGAGCCTTTACATGCATGATCTCAGTCTTCACGAGAACCCTCCAAGGTCAGGCTTATGTGTCTCATCTTACAGGCAGGAAGGTAAAGGAACTGGCTGAAGGTCATGCAACCGTAGGAGAGGATCAGGTAATCTGACCCCACAGGCAGAGAGTCCCCCGTGCCTTCCCCTGGGGGTGCTGGTCAAGAGCTCAGCCTGCTTCACCTCATTTAAGCCCCCACATCAGTCCCTTCCTCCCGCCACCAGCCTTGATCTATGCAGGGCTCAAATTCATGCCTTGGCCATGCTACAAATGACAGAAAATCCCCGACCTTTGAGGTCACTCGCGAACACTTGTAACCCCAAATATTGAAATGGTAAATGCCAAAGGTTGTCCACGTCTGCACTTCAGGGCAGTGAGAGATTCAATGCAAAATAGCACAGCCTCATCTTAGAGTAAGGACCCTGGAAAAGTGGCTTGACCCTGCAGAGCCTGTTTCCCCATCTATAACGGGGCTATACAACAATGCCCACCTCATAGGCTTGGAGTCAGGTAAAACCAGCATAACATAATGGTGTCTGGCACACAGCAGATACTCAGTAAGGGCCTATCGGTTTGTTTAAAATTGGCATCACGTCCCTGAGGAGTTGGTGCTGTTTGAAGTCTGGATGATGGGATGGAGATTTCAACTTCCTGGTTTCTGGAGCATTGCTTGGAGGAACTCTGTCCTCAGCTGTCTTCCCAATCCCCTGGCGATTGGGCTTAGCAGGCACTGGGCTCTCCCTCTGGACACTGTAGAGGCAGAGGGGCAGCAGCACAAGCCCCAACTTCTCCAGCTTGCAGACAAGCCGGGCGGGGGAAGCAGCAGCTTTTCTAGCCAGCTGTGCCCCCGGGCCTGCAGTCAGGGAGGGAAGTAGGTGCCCAATGGGGAAGTTTCTGCCACAAACACCCGGTTGAGAAACACGGTTGGGAAAATCCAGCAGGCTGCTGATCTCTGGTGTGGCTCGTGCATACTACTGCCTCCTCCCTTTGTCCCTCCGGCCTGGGGGTGGTGGTAGCTTCTTGCTGGTGCTACTTTCTGGGTTGCCTTTCCATTCCCTTTATAGCTTCTCCACTCTTTCATCACTTGTACAATGGAGTCCCTACATTCAGTTCCTTCTATTTGAAATACCTAGAATGGCTTCTCTTTCCCTATTGGGCCTTGAAGTCCGGAGAAGTGAAGTCGGTCCCCGTTCCTTTGCAGAGCTGCCTTCCTTACCCTGGCTCTGTGCTAATCTTTTTGCCAGCTGCCTCCTCCTTCGTGGAGTCCTGTCTAAGATTGCAGTGGATTTAAGGAACCTCATCAACTGATTGTCACTAAAGTACTACTGACTGATAACTTGTGTCATGTGGGAGAAGCCAGAACATCACGGGGCCTGTCCAGGGGAGTCTGAGGCCACAGAGGAGATGCAGTCACAGCTGGAAATACTGCCTAAGGTATCTCTCTTCTCACCTCCCTCCATTTTCCCCTACAGGCCAAACTAGGCCACGTGGCATGGGAATGCAGCCTGAAGAGGCTGGGCTCCTCTGCCATGGGCAAAGATCAGAGCAGGGGAAGGATGAAGAAGGATTTGAGGCAAACAGGCCCAGGACGGGCACATTCCCCTTCTGTGTACTGTGGCAGGGGATTGGACCAAATGGTCTTTGAGGACTCCGGTTCTCTGATAGTCTACAGATCTAGGACTCTTAGGGCAAGGACACAATTTCCCTGGGTTCTGTCCCAATTCTGATCTCATGTGGCCTTCTGATATCTCCTCTCTCTGGCCTTAGTGTGCCTGTCTGTTCAGTGGAGGAGTTGACCAGCCTGGTCCAACATGGCCATGGACGAAGACCCAGGTATGTAAACTGATTGCTTATCCAAGGTCCTCCCAGGAATCTGCTGCCCTCACCATCCCTGACCAGTGATGCCTTCTCCATTCTGCTGTCCCAGACTGGTGCTGTAGTACTATGCCTACTTCTTTTTATTTTTCTTTTTAATTAATTATTTTATTTATTTATTTATTTATTTATTTATTTATTTATTTATGAGATGGAGTTTCGCTCTTGTTACCCAGGCTGGAGTGCAATGGCGCGATCTCGGCTCACCGCAACCTTCGCCTCCTGGGTTCAGGCAATTCTCCTGCCTCAGACTCCCGAGTAGCTGGGACTACAGGCACGCGCCACCATGGCCAGCTAATTTTTTGTATTTTTAGTAGAGACGGGGTTTCACCATGCTGACCAGGATGGTCTCAATCTCTTGACCTCGTGATCCACCCGCCTCGGCTTCCCAAAGTGCTGGGATTACAGGCGTGAGCCACCGCGTCCGGCCCCAATTATTTATTTATTTTTAAGATGGGGTTTCACCATGTTGATCAGGCTGGTCTTGAACTCCCGACCTCAGGTGATCCACCTGCCTTGGCCTCCAAAGTGCTTGGATCACAGGCATGAGCCACCATGCCCAGCCTCTTTTTATTTTTTTTTGAGATGGAGTCTCACTCTTGCTTAGGCTGGAGTGCACTGGTGCGATCCCAGCTCACTCCAACCTTCACCTCTTGGGTTCCTGCGATTCTCCCACCTCAGTCTCCTGAGTAGCCAGGATTACAGGCATGCGCCACCACAACTGGCTGACTTTTGTATATTTAGTAGAGATGGGGTTTCGCTGTGTTGGCCAGACTGGTGACCAAGTCCCCAGTCGCTGTGTTGTCTCCTGACCTCAAGTGATCTGCTCACCTGGGCCTCCCAAAGTGCTGGGATTACCGACATGAACGACCATACCCTGCCATGTGCCCACTTCTCCCCATAGCTGTGAGCCCATCAGCTATGGGCCCAGACCTGCCATCCTGTGAGGCCAGGAGCAACTCCAGCTGTCCAGGGTCCACCTTTTGCCTGGGGATAAAGAGCCCTTTCCCCTCAGAGGACTAGGAGGCACCTCCCGGCCTTGGGCAGGGGTCCCCTTGAGCCCTGCCCTATCTGTCCAGGACTCCTCTTTTCTTCCTCTCCAGGAAAGAAGAATGGACCAGTTTCTAGAAAAGTTTCTAGAAAGACTCCAAAAGAGGTACAGACCGTAAGAGACTGCTGGTCTCCCTCCACGGGAGCTGAGGCCACACCCTCCCAAAGCTTCTGCAGACTCTCAGCTCTCAACCCAAGTAGGTTAAAATGCACCTACTTCCTGCATTATAACACTTTGGAATCACTTTATATGAGTTAAGATGTGCTACAGTTGACAGGTTGTCCTAATATTACATTTTGCAGATGTTTAATTAAACATGCAGGAATTTCAAGCCTCCCGTGACTGAACTCAGCTCAGGCCTTGTTCTGTGTGATCTCAATCTATTCTTCAAAATCGTATTATTATTAACCCCATTTTACCAGGGATAAAACAGGACGCAAGATCTCCAACACCTAGTTGAAGGCCACACAGCCAGGGGCCTGGTGGGATAGCACTGGCTGCTCTGCCTCTGCCCTGGTCAGCCTCTCTAGTGCCTCCCTGCCAACCCTCCAGTTCCTGGCTCTTCCCTGGGCTGCCTAGGCCAGGGGCTTGAGGCCTGTGAGGCTCAAGTCTCTCTAGGAGAGTGAATAGTCTGACCTGATGGACCAGAGCCGTCCTCCTGGCCCAGTTAGGAGCATGGTGCCAGCACCCCAGCACCCCTCCCAGGGGTGAGCTGCAGGGCACATAGTTTACCTGCCAGGAGCCCGGAGTAGGAAAGCAAACACCATAAATCATCAGGATGCCTGTGTAAATATTTTATAGCTGGGACAGTAAATAATGCAGCTCCCTGGACACGCCCTGCCCAGTTCATCTGTCTCACATCCAGCACCCAGGACAGTCTGTCTGGTCCTCTCTCTTACCTTGTGTTTTTAAAACAAATGCTGTGGCCCAGTGCTGAGCGCTTTCACACGCGCATCTTCACTGACTAGCCTTTGCTCAGGCCTGGAACAACTTTCTCCCTCCTCCTTCAGGAGTCACCTCCTCCTGGAAGCTTTCTTTGATTTACTGAGTGGAGTCAAGGGTTCCTCTGGCTCTCAGTCCCTAGGCTTCCCCATCTGGGCTCTGCTCACTCTGCACGGTCATTTCTTGGCTCCTGTTATGATTCCTGGTGACTAGTGTGCCCTCACTCTGACTGTCAGCTCCAAGAGAGCAATCATATCCCTAGAGCTGAGGGCAGAGGTTGGTGTATGCAGGTGCTCAACAAATAATGTTGAAGGATGGAATAAATTACCTTGCTTAATCCTTAAATAAGTCTGTGGTATAGGCATTATTATGTTTATTATTTCTATTATCCTTATTTTACGGGCAAGAAAACAGGTCCAAGTGGCAGTACTGGGATTGATCTCGGTCTGCCTGGCCCTGAGTCTAATGCTTCCTCAATAATCCATCTGGGAAATTGCCTCTCCCCTGATTCTGCCTAGGGAAGCCCTCCACCCCTCCCACAGGCCCTGGTACCCAGTGGGTGCTAATCCACATGTTTGAATGGCTGGAAAGGGCAAGAGAGAAGTCAGGCTTTTGTCCTTGACCTGGGAAGGAATGCACAGTGGGCACCAGGGGAGCAGGAGGCTGGGTAAGGGGACCAGTGATTCCCAGGCCCCAAAGCAGCTCTGAGAAGACATGTGTCTGGGGAGGGTTTCAGGTCCTGGATGGAGGCAACTGTGGAAGGTGCTCTGATGCAGCAGCCCAGACGCCTTCCCTCCAAAGGCACTGTGCTGCTCTGGGGCCGCGTCCCTAACCAGGCTATTGCAGCCTTGCAGGAACCTGAGACAGAAGACAGATGATCCTGTCTGCCTTCTCCCCATCCTGTGTCAGGCGTTGAGAACGAGGACAAAGAAATCAGGGCACAGGCTGTGCAAGGGGGGACCGGACAAGGACAGCTTTGCGCAAGAAGTCCTGGCCTGACCTTGGCCTCAATGCTTGGCAGGAGGTAGGGTGCAAAAGGAGGGCCGATGGGTTTCAACTGATGTATCAATTCCAGCTGGTCACCATTGGCTCCCTGGAGCTATGTTGAGAAGGATTCTGAGCTGTATCCCTCCAGGCTCAGCAGGAAGCGCTGTGATCACTTAGCAATATCTGCCTCAAGCACAGAGGTGGGTACAATAGCTCACCTAGGAATTTGCCACCCCTTCCTTCTACCTTTCCTCAGCTCTCAGCAGAATAGGGATTCAATAAAGGTTTGTGGATTCATTGTTGGCTAATGAGGTCAGTGCAGAAGTCATTTGGAGTTACCATTCTCTGCATAGCTGAGAAATATGAACACATGGCCTATTTACTGTTGTCCCTGAAAGAACCAGAAAGGGAAGCAGGGAGAATAGAAATTGACAGACCCCAGCTGGGCATGGTGGCTCGAGCCTGTAATCCCAGCACTTTGGGAGGCCGAGGCGGGTAGATCACAAGGTCAAGAGATCAAGACCATCCTGGTTAACATGGTGAAATCCCGTCTCTACTAAAAATACAAAAAATTAGCTGGGCATGGTGGCGCCTGCCTGTAATCCCAGCTACTCAGCTGGCTGAGGCAGGAAAATTGCTTGAACCCAGGAGGCGGAGGTTGTGGTGAGCGGAGATCGTGCCATTGCACTCCAGCCTGGGTAACAAGAGCGAAACTCCGTCTCAAAAAAAAAAAAAAAAGAAATTGACAGACCCCAAATGAGAAGTCAGTGAGATGCCCATAAGAACTTCCTAGCAGTATGGCAGTATGGACTGACCTTAGCCCAGGGACAAGGGAAGTCGCAGCTCAGCCATCACCAGTCAGCAGAGACGGGGAGTTTTTTAAGGCAAATTCCAGACAGCAAACTTGGCTAGGGCCCAGACAGTTTGTCTGTGTTGCAGGAGATGGAGCCCAGTAGACTCAGGGATCCCCACTGGGCCCAGGACAGTGTGGGTGGCACAAAGAGGTCCTGGGTGGAGCCCCTGCCTCACCCTCACACCAATTCCCACGCTGTGGGGTGGGGGGTGGGGAAATCTTGCATGGGCCACAGCAGGCAGCGACACACAGGTTCCCTCTGGGCTGAGAAGATCTTTTCAGGCTCCAGGGGAGGTGGCACGGCCAAGAGTGGCGGCTGTGAGGGAGCCAGACTGTGTGCCTACCCTTGCTTTCTGCAGTCTCTCGTTTCCCCCCACACATCCACCCATGAGGCCACACAGGCCAATTGCACAGGCTTCACAATTGGTGAATGAGCTTTCAGAAGGGAAACTGTCCTTCCCTGCCAGCTGCTGATGCCTCCATGCCAGTCACTTGTCTCACTCCACCCAGGCCAGTCACCAACCGTCTCACTCTTGCCTCGGTGGCTTTAGGGACAAGCTGGCCTAGTGGTTGGGAAGTCTGGCCCAGAATCCAGGGTACTGTGGGTGACCATGGGCATATCATTTAGACTCCCCGGGCTTCAGTATTCCCTCCTATAAAATGGGACTAATGATGGTACCCACATAGGGGCTTTGTGGGAGGCTTGTGAGTTAAGGAACATCAAGTGTTAGTTCAGGGCCTGGTAGGTAGTGAATGCTTGATATGTGGGGGCTGGAATTACTGTTCTTACTATGATTTGAAGCTGAGACTATACTCTCTTCACACCCTCTGCAGAGTCTGGAATCCACCCAGACCCCCAGGGACCACTACCAAGATCCGGAGGCCTGTAGGCTGATGGAAGGCCCTGGACCTGGGACTTGGAACACTCTCCACTAGGCCTGGTGCAGAACAAGACGGGCAGAGGCAGGGCTCCCTGCAGCCTGCAGCCATGGGTGTGCTGAGCTTGGGGCCATAGGCAGAGCTGGCCATCTCAGGCCACCTATAATTACCTTTTGGCAGTATGGGGCAGGGGCAGCAATTTTCAGGTTTTATTTTGATGCCCAGACAGTGCCTTTGGGTAGCCTAGTACCAGCTGGCTGCTGCCAGGCAGGACAAAGATAGAATTCTTCAGGGAGGAAGCCCTTCTAAGGAGGCTGACATCTGAGTGCAGGGTCCAGAGTTCAAGATCCCATGGTCTCTGCCAGGCGCAGTGGCTCACGGTAATCCCAGAACTTTGAAATTCTATCTCCATTTAAAAAATACAAAAATTAGCTGGGCATGGTGGTACATGCTTGTGGTTCCAGCTACTCAGGAGGCTGAGGTAGGAGAATCCCTTGAACCCAGGAGGCAGAGGTTGCAGTGAGCTGGGATCATGCCACTGCACTACAGCCTGGGCAACAGAGCAAGATGCCATCTCAAAAAAAAAAAAAAAAAATCCCATGGTCTCCACAGACCTCCTCACTTTGCTTTTTTTTTTTTTTTTGAGACAGAGTCTCACCAGGCTGGAGTGCAGTGGCATGATCTCTGCTCACTGCAACCTCCGCCTCCCAGGTTCAAGCATTTGTCGTGCCTCAGCCTGCTGAGTAGCTGGGATTACAGGCACACACTATCATGCCCAGCCAATTTTTTATATTTTTAGTAGAGACGGGGTTTTACCATGTTGACCATGCTGGTCTCAAACTCCTGACCTCAAGTGATCTGCCACTCTCAGCCTCCCATAGTGCTGGGATTACAGGTGTGAGCCACTGTGCTTACCCCACAGACCCCCTTTTTCCCAGTCCCTGGGGGCAGGGCTGCTCTGGGGAGCCTGGGTAACTGGGAGAGTCAATGGGAAGCAATGCAGGCCCTCTGGGACATGGCGTAGAGCACTCAGGAGGATCCAGGGGAGGCACAGTGTACTCTGTTCCTCGTCCTCCTCTGCTCTGTCCCCCTTGCCTCCTCCCCTTAGGAGGGAAGGCCTTCATCTTATGTGGAAAGAGGCTGGCAAAACTTCCACTGGGGTGGGGTGGAGTGTCTCGGGGGCCTATCCTGAGCCTGAGCCATCTCTGGAGGCCACACACTCTTTCTGGCTTGCACCTGGCACCTCCCACCCTGCTGACATGCCACGCCTCTTAGGCATAAGAATGCATGCACATATGTGTTTTTGCACACTCACCCAGCAGCAACCAGGGTGATGATAAAGGAAGACATGGTAGCTTTCCACCCAAAACTCCCTCATCTTGAAGCAGGGAGAGAAGGAAGTCCAGCTCCAGGTAGGAGAAACAACCACCTGTGTGCCTGAGTACTTATGGACTCCCGGCCATTAGCATGGGAGGCCTGCACCACGCTGCTTAATCACGCACCGCTGCTCCCTCTTCTCTTGGGCACATACCTGCCTGCTGCGTCTGATCCCCATGGCAGAGCCCAAATGTCTCTGGATCCCATAGAGACTTCCAGGGCAGGGCCTGCCAGTGCCCCTGGGTGCAGGGAGCCCCAGAAGTCCAGGCCAACCTCATGCAGCTTGACTTTCAGCCCTTGCCGTATGGAGGCCAAGGGGCAGGGAAGCCAACAAAATGCGGTCACCAAGGTTGCTGAGTGCTGTCTCTGGGCACAGTGATGCCAACCCAGGAAAGCTGGTCTCCACTGAGTACCTACTGTGTACCCAGCCCTCACAGGGCAGGAGTCAGGTGTGTGGTGGCCGTGGGGAGTGATCAGGAGGAGAGGACATGGCACTCAAGGGGTGACCTTGCAGCTAGGGGAGGAACAAAAACAAATAGGATCTAAGGCTCAACTGCTAAAAAGGATGGCTGCTGGGAGCCGGACA